TTTCCTGCCATGGCAGGGGGTCGGACTAGATGATCTTCTCAGGTCCCTTCCGACCCTAGAAACTATGAAACTATGAAATCCTGCCCTCCCCCTCCTCACCGCATTTCCTGCATCATTTGGCACAAGCTTGGACCATAGAATGGGAGGACACAATAACATTCTTATTTCATAATCTCAGGGCAGCAGGAGTGTCAGGATCCCATTTCCCCTTTTACCTGGAGGGCAGCTTAATCTGTCTTCTTTAGTCTAAGTTAAATATTGACATATCACAGAGCAGTTAGGACAGATTGTATCTAAGACTCACTGCAGAAGCTTATCAATCATTGCTGGATATAGTTATTATTAATGTCAGAGGGGTTTTTTTATTCATCTGACTATCTGAAACAAACTGAAGAGTAACATTTACATTTTCATGTTGAGTATTTCATATCACAAAAGAAAGAGCTGAGATCTCTTCCTATTACAGAAAGTATGGATTAAAAACAAGCCCCCCGAACTCCTGATTAGGGTTCTGGTACATTTAATTTACAAGGAACTGTGATATTTTAAAGGAAATTGTGAAATAAAACTGTTATGCATATTTAAGTATATTAACAAAAATGTTATTAGCTTAAAGCATATTTATTCCAGGAACATTTCAGTTACTAAAAAAAAAGCACTTCAAGATAAGGAAATGGACTAGGGGTGTAGTTAAATGTTCAGAAATGCTTGTAGTTCACCAATCTCTTACATAAATATTCACTTGTAAAATATCCCATTGATTATTCCCACACCATCCATATACATGTCTACCATCCATCTAACAGGGATACACACACATCAATTCCTGCAGTAGTGTGTGAAATTGTGCATGCACGTTTCTAAAAATTGGGCCCTTATTATCATCTGTGAAATAGGACATAATAACTCTTTTCTCACTGGAGTGGTGTGATGCTAAATTCATTTATGTTTATAAAACAGTTTGAGAACCTCAGGCACAAGGTGGTATATAAGAGTGCAAAGGTTTCTCAAAATGAAATTCATGATACCACAAGACAAGAGTGGGGACTATGGGCACTTACACATATGCGGGGAACCTGGTCTGATGCACTGGAAATCCAGCGTAAATTGATGCACACTGGCAGCCTTGTCCATCACATGTATAAGAGGCACAGGATGCCTTTGTGCTGAGGAATGGTGGCAGTGTGCTTTGAACTACAATATGTTCGATGTGCTTTAGTTCAAAGTACACTGCCACCATTTTCTCTGAGCGGAGACTCGCTGCACCGCTGATACACATGATGTGTGGGTGCTTTTAATTAGTGCAGCTGGCTAATTAAAAGTGCCTGGGACCATGTCGGGAGCACATGTATAAATGCCCTATATGACTCAACTAGTCATTCCTTCTAATTCAAGTGGGTTTTGTCATGTAACAGTTATTGCTTTAATTAGCCATGAGGAAGTCTCATGGCCTTCATAATTAGGGGTGCATTGATAGAGATTTTGGAGGCCAATACCGATAGCCAATATTTAAGGAAGCATATCGGACGATACTAATCCGATATCTGACGCAGCTGCCATCAGCTGGTAAATCCCTTGTGGTGGAAGGGGAGGGGGGAGGGAATAGCTGTGGGGGGACAAATCAATGCCCTCATGGTGAGGGCGGGGGC